TCCTTTGCCCATGGCCGCCTCGTCCCGCCCCGTGCACTGCCCGCTGATGCTGCTCCCGCTGCTCCTGCTGCTGCCTCGGCCGGCGGCTGCCCAGGCCCCGCAGGCGCTGACAGGTAAGGCCGGGGGAGGAGGTGAGAGCTGCCCCTGCCCCTGCCCCTACCCCTACCCCGGGCCTCACGGCGCCGCCTCTCCTTGCAGCCGCGCAGCAGAGCTGCCTGCTGCCCGCGGACGACGGCCCGTGCCGGGCGCTGCTGCCGCGCTGGTACTACGACCGCTACACGCAGACCTGCGAGCCCTTCTCCTACGGGGGCTGCCAGGGCAACGCCAACAACTTCGAGAGCTTGGAGGACTGCGAGAAGAGCTGCTGGCTCATCCGGAGTGAGTTCCCGCGGGCCGGGCGCTGGGCGGGCCGGGGCGGCGGGCTTCATCTTCCCAATGCATGACCTGCTGACATGTGCCGGCGTGCCAGTACATCAGGCCCGCCCGCTTTCTGCAGCCCTGTGTCCTAGCCGCCTGGTTTCCATAGGTCCTTCTGCCTCCTAAAACTCCTTACCCTGCCTCCAGTCAGCCCTGTCCGGGGTAACATCACCCACCAGCTTCTGGCAGTGTTTGAAGTCCCTTTCTGCTGCCGAGGGTGCCCCACAGTGCTGCACCTAGACTCCTGGTGGCTCTGGGTTAACTTCTAGTATCCGGCCCTCTTTGCCAGAGAGACTGATTTTTATTTTATTTTTTGTTGCAAAAATCTTTATCATAACTGTGGTATTGATGTCTAAATAGTCCATTCACAATTGATAACATTGCCAGTGTGCATATTCATAGATTGTAAGGCTGGAAGGGACCTTGGGGTCCAGCCCCCTGCACCAAGCATGTGCAATATTAAAACTTTTTTTGCAATTGTAATTCTTTTTTTCATTTCTGGCCTGCCTTTCCCTGGGCAGCTGTCCAGTTTGCCCATGCCTGTGTCTGGGTCTGGCGCCACGTGGCATGTAAAGAGTCATTTCTGACCAGCTGGTTCTAGGCAAGGCAGGAGAAACTCCCTTTGGGGCAGGCAAGGTTCTTTGAGTGGAGGTGATAGCTTTTATTAGACCAACTAAATAGTTGGGAAATAGTTCTTTGCAAGCTTTTGGGCACAAACACACCCTTCTTCGGGCATTGGGACACTGCTGCTGTTAGGAGTTCGCCAAGGTAGAAAAGAAGCTGAAGTAAAGGAGAAGTTGGTGAAGATGCAAATATGTGGAAGTTTGGGTGGGGGGGAAAGGGTGGGGAGGGTGGGAAAATGCATCTAGCACTTGAATACAAATAATGCAGTAGCCAGTACCTTCTTTGTGTCCCCAGTTCCCACAAGCTGACCCTCTGAGGGCAGGCGGACAAAGTTTTTCCTTCTTCATTGGATTTTGTCAGCTGGTTTTCTCCTTGCTTTTTTTTTCGGTAGCAAGGGATGTGCATAACATGCTGCTAGCCATTGGGCTTATGTTGTAGTTCTTGCTAGCAGACATTCCCACTGAAACTATTTATTTGGGTCAAAAGAATGGAGCTTTCTTGGGACTTTGCTGGCTAAATCAGCACAGAATCACTCCACTGGAGGAAAGGAAAAAGGTGGAAGGAGTGATATGTTTGGCTTCTCATTGTCCTCTACTCCAAATGTTTTTAAGGTATCAAAGCCCCTATTAAAGTTATTAGCTTCCTAATCTAAGGCTTGTTATGTTGTAATAAAGAGTACTCTTAACAGATGTGAATTAGCTATATAGGCACAAGTTTAAATATAGGCCAAAGATAAATATGTATCACGTGAATTGTATTGTTCTTTCTAAAGTATCAAGTTACTGAGGATGTATCTTAGACACTGGAAATCGTAATTGCTTTATTTTCACTTATATTTAAATGCTTTTATTTATTTTTTTTAAACTTTAGAAGTCCCCAAAATATGCCGGATGGAGGCTGACCCAGGACCATGTCGAAGTTATCTATCAAGATATGCCTTCAATCTAAGTTCAATGATGTGCGAGCCATTTATCTATGGTGGATGCTATGGAAATGACAACAACTTCAGAAACCACGATTCTTGTATGGAGACATGTGCACCTCAAAAAAGTAATGATTACTTAAATATTTTAATAAAATAAATTATTTTAATCTGAGGCAGAAGGGAAAAGTTATTTTTCTAATCCTTAACTCTGGATACACCTAAAAGTAGATTTTCACTCTAAAATCAGACATTTGTCTCTCTAAATCAGACATCTGCCTGCTGTTAAGAAGTGATTTCTGAGCCAGCTTGGGCATATTATTTTTTGTTTATAGATTTTCAGGTATCATCATGCTGTTACCTTTCTTAATGTTCATGATCCAAACCCCACACTCAGTTATAATTTATGGATCCATAACATCTATGGATTCCAAGGGGTTGTATGGGTGTAATTGGGAGGTGTTGTGGGGGGGCACAATTTCTGCACAGAAGCAGTTTAGAATAATAGTGTGATTAGTGTGCCTAAGGAGCTAATGTCCAAATATTGAGCTCAAGGAAAGGGTGCCTTTCTAAAATTAGAGACCAGAGTGGTATAGTCATAGGCTGCTTGTTTTTAGCACTTTTATGTGCCAATAAATGTTGATTGCCTGCATGTCTCTGAATGACTTACTTTAAGTGAAAAAAAGATAGTTTCTCTGAGCAGATAACTCTATCTAAACTCAGCCCATATATTATATCAGATGCCTAAAACTGCCTGTGGATGAATAAAGAGTCATCACAACATACATCACAACTGCTTCATTGGTTCAGAGAAAAGCTAGCAACATTTTTCTTAGTGAAAAGTGAATTGTGTTTAGTTTGCCTTTTGCATACGTACCTAACAAATATGCAAATAGGATGGGTAACAGAAACACAGTCTGGATGAGGCAAAAATATAATTTGATTCTTGTGGATAGAATCAGTTCTGATAGAGCATATTTAGTTATATGCATTAGTTATTGGAAAATAAAATAGAAAGGGTAGAGGGTAAAATAATGCCTTTTTTAGCCTATTTATTGATTGGGTAAGCAAGCAGGTTTCAGTCCTAAATTATTCCAACTCTTCAAATACCCAGTGCAAAGTACTGCATGTAGAGAGAGAATCAGAACCTCACTTGTGGTGGTAGTGTATTTGTATTCATTAGAATCTGGCAATTCTGGAATGAGGAATGGAAGGAGAGAGCCCTAATTGAAGCCACTGCAACACTGAACCACTTCAAAGGGAACAGGATTGCTTCTTCCATATTTGTTGTGGTTTATGCATTATAAGTCAACTGTACTGAGACCACAGTATTTTTTTTTTTTTTTTAAGCTGGCCCCTCACTGTGCTACAGCCCAAAGGATGAAGGACTGTGTTCATCTTCTATACCTCGCTACTACTACAACTCAAAGAGTAAACTGTGTGAGGAGTTAAGCTACACTGGCTGTGGTGGAAATTCCAATAACTTTGTTAGCAAGGCAGATTGTTATAAAGTCTGTAGGGAAGGTAAGATTTGTTACACTTTTATTATCAAAACACTATATATTAATTAGATACTAGTATTTATGTTGGTTGCCAAAACACATTACAGATATTACACTTGCAACTTCTTGGAGTCAGTATTTTCGTAATTAAGAAGAAAGTGAAGCCTATCCTGAGCATGAGAATAGCTTAAAGTAGAGCCGTGTGTAGACAAAATGAGGGGCATGTGTGCACGACACTTTGAAGTGAGCTAAATGCTTTTGCACTGCTTTAATGGTGTCGGTGTTTGCATGCCTCAGCGGTGTATTGTGCATTAATTCCAGCCACTGTAGGAAATTCAGCTACATAAAGCACCTTAAATGACTTGGGGTGCAGCAAACTAAAACTTTCCAGTATAAAAACTGGAAGTAAAGGGCTGACACTTTGAACGTTGGAATGAATCCTTGCCTCATGAAAGCTAATGGAACTCTTGCAACTGAGGCTAGGATTTCACCCAAGATTTTTTTTTTTATGGGAATCAAGATGAAGTCAGTCAAACTCCTCATGATAGTAAACACTCTTTCCTGGTGGCACTTCCAGGATTGGACCCTGGGCTGAACAGACAATATTGCTTCTGGCCTGCTGTGCATTACCTGATTTATTTATTTATTTACTTTTCATTGCACAGTAACATTATCTGTGGTACAGATTTAGCTAAATTTATATTACTATTATTTGAAATATAGTATAACCACAAATAAATACAAAGAGGGAGAGAGGGAAGGCTGAATATTCAGCTCTACTAGTATCTGACTGCTTACCAGGATTAATTCTATAGGCTTTATTTTTATTTTTTTCAAGAAGAGGGGGTAAGGGAAAGGAATTTAAAAAATATCATCTATATACTATAACTAAGGCACTAGATAGCAAAGTCCAAGTGCAATAGATCAGATTCTGCAGTAATCTGTGGACTTTGAGTTTCAATAAGCACTGGTATACCAAAAGGCATTAGTGTTGGTTCTACTGTGTCCATATTCATTTGCATACCTTTTGTAATGTGCAGCTTGGAATAGTGCCTGTAAAGAAATATTTCAGGCAACTTAAACACCACCTTTCTCCCTCCCTTTCTCTTTCCCCACACCCCAAGGAATTTCTCATGATGCTCTCTTGTTTTCAGAGCTGATTTGAACCAATTTTTCATGGAATCAATATATATTTGCATGAAATAAAAAAATATTTTTTTACCTTTGCAAAAGTATCTGTTAACTTGTGCATTTTAGCTTTGTTTGCTTAATTCTGTTCAAAGAAATATGGCTATGACTTTTTCTAGTGAGGAAAATATGTTTTATTTTCATTCTCATACAACTTAAAGTGAAGACATTTTGTCTACTTTTCCCAAACTGCTTCTTGTTCAGAAAAAAAAGATGAAGGTAAATTGCAGTACCAAAGAAGAAGGTTTTGGAAAATGTTATAGTATGTGAAACAGGTTGCTATTACAGAAAATGTTTTGCAACATTAGTTATAGCTGTTGCTATCAGCATGGTTGCTACAGGAAATATGATGGGAAAAGTGAGGAATGATGAAACTTTGTCATACTAACTCCACTTCTTTTATTTTCTTAGCAGGGAATAAAAAAACAAAAATCAAGCCTAGAAGTAAAGTCATGAGGAAAATGATGAGAAAACTACAGAAAAAACCCTCATGAATCTAACCTAAATCTGAAAAATCCCAAATGTACTATTTTGATATAATTTTCCTCTTGTGTAATACAACATGTACACAGTTTTATGTACCAAAAACTAGTTCCGTCTTTCAGAATTTTTTTTTTTTACATCAGATACAGGTTTGTTTGAGTTTTTTTAGACAACTAGTAATGTGAATTGGTTTGAGTTTGGTTTTTTTCTGTTGTATTGTATCTGCAGTACTACTTTGCTAAAGACCAATATTTAAATTTCCATAATTCTATGGGAAAATGTTACTACTGTGTTGGGAGAATAGCCCAGCTGTTACAAACCTATAAGCTTTGAAATACCCATGATCTCTTTGTTTTGACTAAGGGGAGCACAAAGCAAGATCCCTCCCCTTAATTTGAAACATATCTTTTTACTGAACTGAAAAATAGCTGAATCATCAAGATTGTCTTCAAAGGGTTATAGTACTACGGCTGCACATACTTTTGTTCTTGTGTAAACTAGTCCTCCCTTATAGGGAGCAGTACTGTTGATGTTCCAGGCTTTCATGCACTTTGGTGATACTGAAATTAAAATAAAATAAACTGCAAAAATTGGGAGTAGGGTCACTTTGACATTTATCTTTTTTTAAGAAAGCAATTAATAAGCTATTTAAATGTTTCAAATGAAAATGTAGCGACTGCATTTTTTTCCTAACAGCTGATACTGCTGCAAAATTATGGTCCAGATCTTCAGGAAATATCTTCATAACTTAATATTTCCATAGTAATTGAAAGAGCTATATTAATTTACACCAGCTGATGATCTAGATTTTCATGTTTACAAGGGAGACTATTAAAGCCTCTAAATGTGGTAGTTTCAGCAATGTTCTGTAAACCCTGTCCTTAATCACTACTGTAATCTTTTCATAAAATTGTGCCTTGGGCCATGTAATTGGGTTTTTGGGTTTTTTTTTGGTTTTTTTTTTTTTTTGGTTTTTTAAGATTCATGCACTTAGCTCGTGTAAATTCATATGAACACTAATAA